AGCCAAGCATGCGGTTGAGGCCAGCAGGTGGAGTGGGGGCTGCCGTGCTGGGTTCCCACATGGCTGACCATGGTTTGAGCCCCAGGCCTGGGGAGGTTGAAAAATCCCAAAATCACATGAAGGACATGTGCACATGTGCCCCAAATCCCAAGAGGAGAATGGAGGAGAAGGGATTGTGGCATGGCTATTTCCCTTGGGGGGGTGATCTCTCACTTTCCCTTTCTCTCTTTCTCTGTCTTTCATCAGCAACCACACGCATCCTATGACAAAAGCCAAAAATCAAAAACAAAGAAGTAAGAGGTAAGTGGGAAAGTCATGACTAATTTTTGCATAGAAAAATACATCATGGGGGCCAGCCTGTGGCCTGATGGTTAAGGATGTTGGACTCCCACATTGCTGACTGCAGTTCAAGTCCCAGAACTGGCGACTTGCTTTCTCACTTTCCCTCTCTCTCTCTCTCTCTCGCTCTCTCGCTCTACATCTGTCTGGTCAAATTAAAATACATAAATAAATAAACAAAGAAATAAATAAAGTTAAATAAAATAATTCTTTAAAAAATATCATGACTTTCCTGACAACTTAATACATGTTAAAAGCTTTTGGGTCTGTTGCTGGCATGGTGGTTAAGGTGGCTGGATCCCACATGGCCGACTGTGGGGGTTGAGTCCCAGACCCAGAGCTCGAAGGTCACGTTGGACATGTGTGCCAAAGTCCTGAGAGGAGAATGGGCTTGTGGCGTGGCCACCCGCCGTCCCAGGGGTGTTTCTCACTTCTCCCTTCTCTGTCTCTGTCTTGCTCTAGTGAATGCACATGCTCTATAATAAAAACGAAAAGAAGTTAATAAAAAATAAAATAAAATATGGGGACCAGCAGATGGTATAGCAAGCTGCCAGGTCCGGGACTTGCACTGTGGTCAGCCATGTGGGAATCCAGCACCTTACCCAACACGCCACCTGCTGGCCGCACTTGGTATGTTTTTCAAGGCACCAGCTTGCTTTCTCACTTTACTCTCTCTCTGGTCAAAACTTTCTTTTCTTCCAAAAAAAAGGGAGCTAGCAGTTAGAGTAATGGCTATGTCGCCGGACTCCCACATAGTCGACCGCGGTTCATGTCCCGGACCCAGTGGCTTAGAACTCACGCCGGGCCCATGTGCGTGCGTGCCCAAGATCCCGAGAGGAGAATGGAGGAGAAGGGATTGCGGCA